AATTTATATATATAGAAGTAGTAAATTAAGTTAATAAACATTGAGCAGTGTACATTAATTGTATAAATATAGACATTGTACATTGATTGTATAGTCATTGCAAATTAATTGTATACATAAATTGTATAGACATTGTAAATTAATTGTATACATTAATTGTATAGATATTGTACATTAATTGTATACATTAATTGTATAGACATTGTACATTAAGTGTATAGACATTGTACATTAATTGTTTAGACATTGTACATTAATTTTATAGACATTGTACATTAATTGTATAGACATTTTACATTAATTGTATAGACATTTTACATTAAGTGTGTAGACATTGTACATTATTTGTATAGACATTGTACATTAATTGTATTTTATAAGTGTATAGACATTGTACATTAATTGTATGGACATAAAAATAAAACCAAGAACTATCAAGACATCCTATTTCAATATTTGCTTCTATATGATACTCCACCGTTAAATTGATTTGTCAACATTTTTCTGTGCACATTATTGTATTGATATAAAATCAACCACCAACAATAAATATTATGTACAGAAAGAATTAAATAATGTGTTGATAATTTTAAAGGGGGACTCCACTGCAATTCTTAAAATCGCAAAGCTGTTACAATGGTTGCCTCTCTTGCTAACACGACTTGGATGCATTAGTTATAAAGAACCTTTGAAAAGGACGAAGTGACATAATGGCATATGCTGAAAATGCAAAGTTAGGCTCACTTGGCATTAGTCCCAGACAGATCCTCAACGGAAGTTTTTTATTTGAATAAATTAAATGTACAAATATATAGAAATGTTCTATTTGAAACATTCAACAAAAAGGTTACATAGACATATCATTTCTGTATTCTGCAGTGCTCTGTGACTTGCGGACATGGCACGAGGCTCCGAAACGTAACTTGTGTTGATGGAAACGGCAACGACATTCCATATGACCTCTGCACTAAGAAAAAACCCCGGAATATCAAAAGGTGCCTTCGAGGACACTGTCCGAGGTGGCACACTGGTCACTGGAGCAAGGTGAGGAAGATTTAAGGACTCAACTAAAAAAGATGTTGTGAATTCATATGAATTCTTCAGTAATCAAAATCGTTGGTCATAGTGTAGACACAATCAACTGTTAAACTTCTCAGTAATCAAAATCGTTGGTCATATTGCAGACACAATCAACTGTTAAACTTCTCAGTAATCTAAATAACATACATAATAATTGTTTGGATAAAGTAAACATATTTATTATCACGCTTTCCCTTTTTTTTCCTCTTGCCTTTCTTTTACCCAATGATATTGGTGGATTAATCATGTTCTCTACAACATGCAGTGCTCGACCAGTTGTGGACCAGGGGAGAAAATGAGGGAGATTAAATGTAAAGATAAAAGACATCGTTTTGTTGATCCTGGACTTTGTGACCACGAGCCGAGGCCCAAGACGACCATGGCCTGTGTTAGAAAAGAATGTGCCACGTACAGATGGGAGGTTGGCCCTTGGTCTGAGGTAAACAGATTTCTCAGTGGCAAAATACTTGATATAGAAAAACTGAATATTTATTATAGAAACTTGCAATAAAGCTATTTATAAAGAGTGTTGGACTGCCATAAAGCTTTGAAGTAGATTAAAGAGACAGAAACAATTTGTGTTAATGACCCAATATAGGTTCAGCTGTAATAAAATTATTGTTACACAGAACACAAATGCAAACGTTTAGACAAATGCCTTCGTCGGTACAGCAAAAAACCAAAAAACATTTATATAAGTATAAATTAAATTTACATAATAGATATACTTATATAATATGTGTCCTACCTAAACATGAAAGAAAAGAATATAGTTTTAACTGAATTAACTTTCTTAGTAAGCTTTTTAGTGTTAGCTTCAGCAATCTGAAGCTCGAAATAGCACTGTCCCTGCCTTATGAGCTAATTCACCCTGACACTGTACACTTTTTTTAACGCTGGCTGAACCTGTGAGTAGCACCATTGTGGCAAATAGAAGAACTTTTGCTTGTGTGCTTTATTTCAAGGTTTCACTCTCATTTACCTTGTCAACGCTTAAGGTTATTATTTCTGTTCTTTAAACAATTACCATATGAAACTTGTCTCAATTCAGTGTTCCAAAACTTGCGGCTTTGGTCGTAAACACAGATCTGTGACATGTATTGAGCATGGGGGCAGTCGTGTGTCCGTCCATCTTTGTGATTCTGATACCAAGCCTAAAATCAAGCGAAGATGCAGTGAGTTCCCTTGCCCATATATCTGGAATACAGGGCCTTGGAGTGAGGTAATTCATCTTTCATCAAATTAATTCATAACATCTTTTTTAGTTAAGTCAATTGGTCAAATGTCATTATACAGTTTACCAAGCTTCTAGAGTCACATATTATCAATTTAGTGAAAGAATAGATGCCATTCGAGTGATATTAGGATTTTTCTATTGTGAATACTGTAATGTTGAACTAGGTCACATTATTACAGTAACATCAAAGAACAATATGACATTGTGCGACTACTGATTTAGATTAAAGTACATCCAATATTAGTTTATTAAGCAAAATTTATTAAACTGGCTGGGTCTAATTGACAATTGGATCAAAATTAAATTGAAGTGTACCAACATTTTATAATCTTACCTAACTCAATAAACCACCCCACAACCATACCACCTCTCCAGACAGAAAAATAAAAAAGTTATAAAATCAAATATTCTATTTCTTTAAAAGCAAAAAAATTAATTTGGAGAATGTTGTATGTTTAATTGTTGGATGTAAGTGGTTGTGTGTAATGTAAGTGACCTAGAATCAGCTCCACCTAACAAGTTTGAAATATACCCTATTAATACTTCTCCTATTGAATCTCTCATGTCTAGTGCTCTGCCACTTGCGGCGAAGGTAAGCAGACTAGAACTGTTGTCTGCCAAGCTGTCACTAAAGAAGGCTGGATATTGCCAGGGGAAGTTCATTATGGCTGTCGACCAAGTGAGAAGCCTGTGCCTACTCGATACTGTATCTATGGTGACTGCGGATCTAAAAATCATTGGTTTGCCGGCCAATGGGGAGAGGTTTGTTGTTATGGGCAGTTTAAGCATTTAGTTTTGAGATTATCATTGGACATAATTTGGGCTGTTATGAAGCCATTGCCTTTACAAATGCCTCATTCACCTTACTGTTAATCCTGAACAGTCTGCCAATTACACTTATTTGTGCCATACTTTGTTTCAAGTAAAATTACAGAAATAATCAAGTTATTCAAGATCACTGCATTCATTTATTGAATGTGTTTTGTTTACTTGTCAGTGTTCAACTCCATGCGGTCATAGCATTCAACTTTTGAATGTTTACTTGTCACTGTTCATCTCCATGCTGTCATAGCATTCAACTAATGAATGTGTTTGTTTCAGTGTTCCTCTCCTTGTGGCCATGGCATTCAAACACGGCAAGCCACATGTGTCAACAAACACAAAGTTCAAACCAAACGTAACTCTTGTGCTCCACTCTATCGTCCAGAAATATCAAGACCCTGTTATAATGGACATTGTGAGTATTATTATGGCACTGATACGACAAATTAAGATAATGTTTTAATTAGTTGTTTATTATGTCATGGTAGTATGTGACGTATTAAGATGATGTTTTACTTAGTTGTTTATTATGTCATTGGTGGTATGTGACGTATTAAGATGATGTTTTAATTAGTTGTTTATTATGACATTGGTAGTATGTGACGTATTAAGATGATGTTTTAATTAGTTGTTTATTATGACATTGGTAGTATGTGACGTATTAAGATGATGTTTTAATTAGTTGTTTATTATGACATTGGTAGTATGTGACGTATTAAGATGATGTTTTAATTAGTTGTTTTTTTTATGCCATTGGTAGTATGTGACGTATTAAGATGATGTTTTACTTAGTTGCTTATTATGACATTGTGAGTGTTTGTTGTATCAATACTTTTAAAACAGTAGTCTATAAGAAGTTGCCCAAGCCAAACTGTTCTGTTTAAAAGGGCAGCAAAATATGAAATTAATACAGTATTTAAATTTGTTATTGGCAGAGGATGGGCTTAAACCAAAAATAACTATTGAGCAGGCAACGATTGTTATATCGAGAGAATAGTTTAAAATTGAAGAGATTTAATGATCAATCAAATAATACATTGTATTTAATATAGGGAGTACTGAGAAATCTTGTAGATGCAGGTTTATAAAACTGAACATTGATTTGAATTCTCCCAAGGTTACGCTACATCATGTAAGGAATTCAAGACCCTTACAACTATAAGAAAGGACGCCGACTACCAGCTCAAAGTTGGCAATCAGTTGGTTAAGGTGAGTTGGTCTTTGTAGCCTTCAGGTTATGAGCCTCATCATTTCAATAAATTGTACCACTATGTGTAGAATATGACATAACAATGAACTGTCAGATTTAGTATCAAATGATGTTGCTGAATGTTATGACATGCTCAGCCATCATTTTGCACAATTATTTTGTTGTTGACTAACTTTTCTCTGATCACTGCCTGATAAAACTCTATGCTAAATTCTGCTCCAGATCTTTTGCAAGGATATGAGGAAAAAAGAGCCTAAAGAATACATATCTTTGCCCCAGGGACCCTCTGAAAATTTTGCTGAAATGTTTGACAAACAGTAAGGCTTTATTAAAGATTTATTTTTTTTTTTTTAATTTAATTTTGGATGTTGATTACAACTTACAGATTGTCTGAATTAATATTTTTTTCTAAATTCTACAGATTGTCTTAATTAATAATTTTTTTAAAAATCTTAATGTGATTGAGTATGTGAGAGATAAGTTATGATTGTACCCTAATTCTTTCATGCCCCTCACTTTGCAAAAGTAACTTACTTATACAAATAAATTTGTATCTGTGCTATGATTTCTCAGACTTAAAGATCCAACTAGTTGTCCAAATGAAGGAAAACGACCTGAGGAGAATTGCTCAGAATGTCGTCGAAAGTCATTTGATCAAGCTGGGAATTCTTCATTTTCTAAAATTAGAATCAACATCAATACACTAACAGTAATAAGTGAGTACTAAAATAAAAGGTTTTTCTAAAATTGGAACATGTATTTATTGTCCAACAAGTTGTGCAAATATGTAGGAAAACTAATAAACCTCATGGTAAGAAGAAGTTTAATTTATTAAAATATTGATTTTTCCTATACAGTATCTGACTCGGAGTTTAGCAATGTAGAGTCTGGAAGTTTTGTTCCTTATGCTACTGGTGGAGATTGTTACAGTTCCAGTAACTGTCCACAGGTAGGCACAAACTGGAGTGTATTGAAAAATATAGCATATGAGCCAGGGGCAAGGTATAGAAGTAGGGGGAAAGACATGGAAGTAGGAGGCAGTACATGGAAGTTGGGGAGGGGATGTCCATTGATTTTTATATGTTACGTAAACTTTTACCATAGAAAGTAATTGCATTCACTTAATATGTAAATCTATAAATATATAATCAAAGTACCAGTAGATGATTCCCTTTGTTATAGAAGAAGCTAAAAGTATTAAGCATTTTTACTTTTCTTTTAAATCAGTTTTATTTTATACTAGTTGTATTTTGTTTTGTTCATTCACTAGATTTATCATGGTCATTGGTGTCTTGTGCCTTTCTTTGACACTCTCTCTCTCTCTCTGCATTCATTATCAAACCAGTCTACTCTGCTGTTATTTTGTTGATATCTTACTACTTTTTTTGCTGATCTTTTCATAGCATTTTTTTTATCCACTATTTTTTTATTTCGCTTGTATTTATGTGTGTATCTTGCATAAGCTGATGACATAGCATTGTTAGGGAATAGTAGTAAAAACATATCAAAAGCCTTTATGAATTAGAAGATGCATCTCTACAAGCAGGGCTGGAAGTTAACAACCAAAAAAAAAAATACAAGACTTTTTTAAGAGAAGAATAGACAGATGAAGCCATTAAAATAAGAGGGCAGCACTTTTAAAAAAGTAAATCAATTCAAAGATCTAGCTTTATTAAATGAAAAAGATGAAGTACTAATAGAAATTTTAAAAAAGGGGCAGGCTGCACTGGGCGGGACACTAGAAAGAATGTCAAATGATAGAGCGTTGAAGAGAGTGCACCACCAAAACCCCCGGAGGAAAATGGCTCAAAGGCACACCTAGGCTTAGATGAATGGATGATGGGAAAAAAATATTTACAGCAGCTGGGAATCCAAGCATGGCAAATACTAGCATCCTTTATGTCTGAGTGAAAGGAAGTGGTGAGGCAGGCCAAAGCCCTACATGGGCAGTAGGGCCACAGGGATGGATGGATGGATTCATTAGTTTTATTTTGTTTGGTCCTTTACTGTTTCTATTTTTCTTGGACATTCAGCAGTTGTATTTTTTGCAGGTATTCACTAGTTGTATTTATGTTTTTTATATTTTTGGTCTCTACCAGGGTCATTTCCGTATAAATCTGCTGGACACAGGTTTTATAGTTTCTGTCAATACAACATGGAACCTCCAGGGCAATCGAGCATCGCAGAGAATATGGAGGTTGAGAGTGAGTAGAAAAGCAGTCATTGCCTCTCTGTTGTTATTTGTTTAAACTAAACTATTGTCAAGACAGGAAAGGCTGGGCATTTTTTTAGACTTCAAAGATTAAATATTGTCCTAGGAGCATATCAACTCAATTGTTCAGTTTTATCTTTAATTTAGATGCACACTAAGAAAAGAGCAGTAAAATTAGCACTTTTGAATAACTCTTTAAATGCATTGAATTAAAAGTTTTTATTTGCTCCATAATTGTTTTCTTTGTTAAATATATTCTATTTATGCACTTACTTTGAAATAATTTATATAATAATATAATATATTATTTTATGCATTGTGACAGGAAGGACAAATCATCAAGGGTGTGTGTGGAGGTTATTGTGGAGTATGCTCCCCTGACCCCAAAATTGGTCTTAAACTGGAACTCCTGAGATGACCTCCTTGGCAATTCCCAACATCCGATCCCATCTGGTTTCATTAATGTCAATCTTTACACTGCAGCAATCTAAATCCACCTGCTAGTCTTCAAGACAGTTTTCTAGCTCATTATATATTGTTTATGTTTTAACTATTCTGTCAGCTGATATGTCTGTTCTCAGTCCTAATGTAAAAATCTTTTTTTGTGTATGCCAAATATTTCTTTTTCTCTTATAATTTAAGTTTTGCAAACTAAACAAAATATTTATCTATTTAAATTATTAAAAATGGAATGTTTTCGTTCCTTAATCTAATGATTATTTGACCTTGTATGTTTTTTCCATATGACTTTTATTTGAATACTTCCAAAGAAAATGTTAGGCTTAATACTTAATTATTTTACCCACCGTCCAATATTTGTTGGTCAGTATAATAATAATAATATATCATAATGAAATAAGCCCATTATATTAAATAAATATTTTTTATTAAAATCGCTCTTCCAGTAAGCTTATTATAATAAAACTTTTTTAATCAATTCTTAAGTAGTTCAATCTTGAGTGATCAAAGAACATTAAATCTAAAGTTAGATTTTTGTTCCTTGCCATGATTCTTTTTTATCCAGTTAAACTTAATTTTCTGTAGTTGTCTAATCTTCAGCAAATTTTGCCAGTGTCTCCGATTTATGGAATTTTGACTTAAACTGAAAAGTCTAAAAAAAAAAAAAAAGGATATTTTCTTGTTCACATCATTTTGGGACAATGTGTCTTTTTACAAATTTATACTTCTGTTGAAAGATCAGCTAGCAGATTTTATTTTATGGACTTTTTTTTTTAAAAACATTTAAATTAGTATGTACATTTTTAATATGCTGACCTTACAGCTTGTTAGTGTTTCAATTAATTACTTTTGCATAATGTATGGATTTCATTCAGTCCTGTACCCACTGGTGCTTGAATTCTTCTGTGGCAGATGTCTGTAGTGTCAGATTTAAAGTCTGCTGATAACTTTCTATAGATCATTTATTTTGACAACTGTGTAGTGTTTGTTTCAACACTTGAATAATGACAGTTTTGTAATGTTTATAACTGCAGGTATTTAGTGCTTCTATAGTCTATTTCCAAATAAAATACTAGCATTAAATAAATCTCTGTTATAATATTAAAATATATTTATGCAATTTCATTTGGTTTGATTCCATATTTTGTTACTAAATTTTTATGTATACAATCAATTTATATATGTATATGTAGATATTTCTATATACAATCAGTTCTTTATTTATATATGTATATTAAGTTCCTAATGTTTTACTTGTGTTTGAGCTCATGAGCATTGCTAGAGGTATTTGTTTTTTTAACGAATTGGTTTACAAATATATATACAGTATAGTCCATTTTGTCTTAATCTTAATGTTATCAATTTTACAAATGCTTTACATGTTAATTCAATGTTCAAAGTAAATTAAAACTCAATACAATTTTATATTAACTAATGCTGATAAAATATTTTCTATGATTTTTTAAAATTCTTTTAGTAAATGAACTCATGTATTTTAAATCAGTGTTTATTGATGCACTCCTACACTCAGCTACACTCATTTGCTACACTCAGCTACACTCATTTGCTACACTCAGCTACACTCATTTGCTACACTCAGCTACACTCATTTGCTACACTCAGCTACACTCATTTGCTACACTCAGCTACACTCATTTGCTGCCCATTTATTCTCATTCTATGCTCAGATACTCTCCTCTCTGATCATTTACTCTCACTCTATTCTTAGATACACTCCTCTCACATCAGCTACCCACACTCATTGCTCAGCAACACTCACCTTGGCTACACTGAACTCACCTCAGCCACACTCAAGACTTTGCTCAGCTACACTCACTGCCTCAGTTTTGTCAACTATATATACATTGTTTAATGAACAAACACACTTTCTGCTGGGCTTGACAGACATTTCTTGTTCTTTCCTATTTATAGCTGGAAATTTGTGTGAGTTTTATGTATTCCTTTTGTCCATGAGAACTTCTGATCTAGTCTTGAGGGCACTTTTAAATTGTAGATTTAAGTGGAAATTCAGACAGTGGATTAATAGCATATTTTCACCAAGTCGCTGTCATTTCAAATGTGATTTATTTTAATAAACTAATTTAGTAATAAAAATAAAATCTTAATATCTATCCTGAGTAGGACAAGTAAACTAAAGCTGATCAGTTGTATAGACCTAAGTAGGGCAAGTAAACTAAAGCTGATAAATGGTATAGACCTAAGCAGGGCAAGTAAACTAAAGCTGATAAATGGTATAGACCTAAGTAGGGCAAGTAAACTAAAGCTGATCATTTGTATAGACCTAAGTAACAGAAGAATAATTACTTACTTAAATTATACAGAAGAGTCTCCACTTGGATACATTTTTAATGTTTCCGTCAACACAATGCAGCATTCTTATTAGCATTAAATGATGTCTCTATTTTTATTAAATGTCAGTATTGTGTATTGCAATAAATCAAACTTACTCTATTGATGATGATGATTGTTACAAATATTAAATGTTTATATTTTTGTCATGGGATTGCTGGCCAGTTTGAATACTTGTGTATTTTATTTATTGTGTACAAGTTATTTTACAATTCAATTTACAATTACAATTTATTGTCATATTATATATATAAGACTGCCACAGTAGATTATTTTAAAGGGATTGGCAGGTCTTTGTTTTATTTCTATAGTGGACCCCTAGCTAGTCATTGACAAATAGTAATGCTGTTTTAAAAATTGCGCTATTCCTCAAAGCATTATTTTTATTTATATATAGCTGTTTGAGATTTCTATTTTATCATGCAATGTTAATGTACGGTATTTAGTCAGTTAAATCAATCATGGCCATTTGAATCATCAGATTGGTGCTTAGTGTTTTCTTTTATTTGATCTTGAGGAATTTCAAAGTGTCTGATTTTGCGTCGAGTCATAACTGGCATTGGTGTTTTGTTGAAATGATAATTTGACTAAAATGATACATTTATAGGCTTGTCAGAGTACCCCACACCTTTTTTCAAGATGAGAGGGATTGGGGGAAAAGTGGGGCAAACTTTGCCTTTTGAGTCTTCCCATGACGTTCTTTTTAAATATCTAGTAAACATAAAAAGATGTATACAGAGACTGATAACATGATCAAACTCCTCTGCCATCTTGCCCCCATTAATTTGTATACATGCGAGAGGCTCAGATGATGATTTTATAAATATTAGCAAAGCCTTAGTCAAAATAAAACATTATTTTAATGTAAAGCAGTCGTAATATGAATGATTCATAGGTTGAAGGTTTACTTTGGTAGCCCTAAAGTCCTGGATGTCTGTTTAGCTTTTGAAAATAATGAATGTCTGCTTAGCTTCTGAAAGCCCCGAATGTCTGCTTAGCTTTTGAAAACACCCTATACCTCATAACTAGCAATGGAATACTCAACTAACCTTATATATACTTTTTTGCTGTAAATTTCATTACCTTTCGTTAAAGAGAATGATCAATGATAAAATTATGCTAATTTAAATAAATAATCTTTGTGTGTTGAATTGAAAATAAATCTCTCTGAATCTGTAAGAATGATTGAGAATCTGTAAGAATGATTGAGAATCTGTAATCTTTCAATTGGTCTTAAATGATAGTGTGAATTTATCATTTTTATTGTATGGGACATTTATGACTGCTGTTCATTGTAAATAAAATTCAATTATTTTAACATTGTATTTATTACACATCTGTCATGTGTTCTAAAAACATGTCAAGTAATATGATTGATGAGTTCAGTCAAAATATCAGAATATCTGCATCATCATGCGTGGTGTTGCCGGTAAAGAAATAAAACAGTCCCATCCAATCCAATAATGTTTGCTCACAGTAGAATTAACCAGATTATCTTTTATGGTCACCAGTTGCAAAATATTTAATGAGACTATAAGTCTGGTAAACTAAATTCTACATTAATTGTGAAAATGTTATTGTTATACTATCATTGATTAATCTTATGATGGTCCCTTTGTTTGTATTTTGTTGTTGTTGTTTTTTTTGGTTTGCTGGTTATGTTGGTTTCTTTTAGACTCATGGCTTATAGTTAGATTTTAAAATTTAGCATTTAATTGTTCACAACTTTTTACCCCCTCGCTTTAAGTCTGTTTTTTGCTACATTGTTAAGAGTTTCCTACTTGACTGTTAAGTTTAAATTTTAAAACAATGTTTTTGAACAGTGGGCAGTGGGGATTGTGAGCCTTAAGATATTAAGCTCTACCATATCATATTAAATTGGTTTGTTTAGTTCAAGGAAGCAAATCTAACTGCCAGGAACATTGACTGCATGTGTTAAAAAGTCTTATCTCAACCATAACAAAATAAAAAAACTTATATTTTTAATATTTATTTAACAAACCGCTTTATTTGAATTATTCATTCTTACTTAAAATACTTTTGTTTTTCTTGTGCTTCTTTATGTTAATAATTTAATACTTCCTTTGTCAGAGATTTCAAACTTTTTCTGTGAGTGGTCTCCCCTAGATCTACTATTTATAACTCCATAATGTGTTGATAGTATTAGGTTTTTTGCCATGCATTTATTGATTGTTAATGCTCACAATTTCTTTGTTGCATATACCATTATAAATTATATATATATATATTTATTTATAGACTGGAAATTTGTTCACAATTGTATTTCATTAACTTTGCATGCCATAGGGAGATATTTTAATGAGCCTCATGCCAGTCATGTCAATTAATAGCAGGTTCTTTTAATAACATGGCACTTAACAAAAATATCTGATCTTAAATTGTAGTAATCAATGGCCAGCTAACAATAATGGTTCGAGGAAAAACATTTTCAGTCTGGTAATATAAAAAAATTGTGCTACAGCTTTCCATAAGTTATCTTACCATGGATAGCTAAAAGTTATTCTACTCTATGTGAGATTACAGTTTAAAATATACACAAAAACATCCATTTGTCATCATTTGGGTTGATTAATTCTGGCACACACTTATATGAAATTTTTAAAATTAAAACAATATTCTTTTGAATTCCTGCAGTTATAGTAGGCCTATATGATGTGCATTCTTTTGAATTCCTGCAGTTATAGTAGGCCTATATGATGTGCATTCTTTTGAATTCCTGCAGTTATAGTAGGCCTATATGATGTGCATTCTTTTGAACGTTCAAGTTATTCTCAAACATAAACTGAAACTTTGAGTGTGACTAAAATGAAGCAAAAGATAGCTTCTAGGAAAACACCCTCGTTTCATTATTGTAACATAAGGAGTTTTTCTGGGCAGTCCTGTCTTTGAACTAGCACTGAATGATGTTTAATTATGATGGAAGAGAATGGTAGAATTTTTGTGATGGAAAAGAATGATAGAATGTTTATGATGGAAGAGAATGGTAGAATGTTTGTAATGGAAGAGAATGGTTGAATTTTTGTGATGGAAGAGAATGGTAGAATTTTGTGATGTAAGAGAATGGTAGAATGTTTTTGATGGAAAAGAATGGTAGAATGTTTGTGATGGAAGAGAATGGTAGAATGCTTGTGATGGAAGAGAATGGTAGAATGTTTGTGATGGAAGAGAATGTTTAAGTGGTGTGTGTTTCACTGAGAGCTTGCATGACAGACAGAAATGTTTTCACTGTTATGCTTATTGAAGGAGACAATGATAACCACATATAGACATTTAAATATTGCTAATGATTGAACTGAGTGCTAAAGTTTTGACTGATGTATTTGCAATAACTGGTTTGGATGCTCATCTTCCTATCCCATGAAGTGTACATATCAAAATGTGTATATGTTGAGCTACAGCATGCTCTCAGCAATATTGGTGTGAATAATTCTTTTATTAATATGTACATAGATATTTTTGTTTAGCATTTTAAGTAATAAAAAAATACATACACTATTTCTGATGATCTCATTGTATTTTCTTTAATAATAGGCTACAATGGGTCAAATGTGTGGCAAAGACAATGACATATTTTTCTCGATTGCACGCAATGTAAGCGCCAGGATCCTGCTTAACCGTCTTAATACGCATCTTGAGAAGGGTCTCCTGCTAGAAAGTCAAAGTGGTATCCGTAAATAACGCGGGAATATTGATATGGTGTTAGCGGCCAGACAATTAGGGATTGTTCATAAAGGATGTGCGAAAATATACGCATCTTTTCAAACCCCTATACGTATCCACATTTATCCTCGTTTGTCTTACATCCCTCACCCTCCTGTTGCGGCCCTCCTTACCCAGCATTATACATTAGTATAACAGATGCTTGTCTCAATATACAACGCTCACTATAATGTCAGACAGGTGCAGCCAGGCAATGGGTGCCAGGCACTCTCGAAAATATTCTGTAGCTGTAATCGTACGAATTGAAATAGTCCAGCCATAGAAGATGTCTGGTATTTGAAAAATTAAACGTAAGCAGAAGGCTCAAAGCAACATATACCAAAATATTCGCCTGCGGACGCCCACAACATCCTTTACACCCCAGCCCACAACATCCTTTACACCCCAGCCCACAACATCCTTTACACCCCAGCCCACATCCTTTACACCCCAGCCCACAACATCCTTTACACCCCAGCCCACAACATCCTTTATACCCCAGCCCACAACATCCTTTACACCCCATTTTCCTTGTCCGCAGTGGTCCGCATTAGAAGAACCCCCCTCCCCCCCTTTCTTTTCGGACGTTCATTATGGGCAACACCATACAAGAAATGATCAGGTACAATATGTTGACATCTTTTCCACCATGTAGACCTGACCAAGACTTTCGACACTATTAGTAATGAATGTCTTTAGAAGATCATGGCAAAATATGGATGCTACACGAAGTGCCATGCATATCAACGGTATAATAATGCCATGATTCAGGCTAGAATTTCGGAAAATGGAGAGAAGTCTAAACCATTCCCTGAGCCTAGTGGCACTAGAGAAGGTTGCGTCCAATACCAAAATTGTTTCAGCCTCGTGGTCTCTGCAAACCTGACTGATGTTTGATGAGAGGGAAACATTAAGCTCGTCATCAGAAACCGAACTGGTGGTAAACTATTTAACCACCGGAGATAACA